AATGGAAATATCTTTTTTAGGATTGTGTATTACGACCGAATCTGTGCAGTGATTTTGCGTCATGCATTCAACGACGTTGTGTTTGTGATGAGGGATATACTGGTAATTTAGTACTGCTGTTATTATTGTTACAATTTTTGTTATTATTATTGTTATTATTACTATTATTATTAGTGTCATTCTTATCAAATCAGTTAAATTCAACTCAATCCGATTACAAGATTAAGAAACTGAAATTTTTGTGTGAAAAGAATTCTTGATCGCTAGAGTTCCTGATATCAAAATGATCTTTACGAGCGATTTAAAAGCCTTCGCGGATATACTCTAAATGAAGAGTACTTTGGAATGAATGGATGAACTATTGAAGGTGATGGTACCTCATGTGTGTCGCTTGAACCTATCCGAGGTTGTTCGCGTTGTGATATCAGAGCCGATTGCATCAACGGTACCTGTGAATGCGCAAAGGTATCTTTCTCGGAACACTATCTCGACTCAGTTTATCAACTGCATCTCAGTTGTCAACCAAGATGCACCTTTTCTTATTCTGAATTCAATTGCAGACATACTTCGGCAATGGTGAAACGTGCATCCCTGATCCATCCGACTGTGTGCATTACCCTGGACTATGTCGCCGTAATTCGAACTGCGATGAAGATTCACGTAGATGCAAATGTCTTCAAGGTATCTTTACGCATATTCTATCCGAATTTAAGTCTTTTTGCTGCGCCCAACTTCATAAGGCCCAATTGTGATTCGATCTATTCCACCGATTGATCGTTCTTGCTATTCAGGGTTCCTTGGGGATGGCAGCAATTGTGTGTATCAGAAAAACTGTACGGATGATAGAAAAATATGTGATGGTGATGCTGAATGTTTACCGTCTGGAGTGTGTCAATGCAAACGAGGTTTTACAGGAAATGGAATTTCTTGTCATGCAGGTTATTTGCTATGAAATATTGATTTTGCTATTATTCAATTATCGATAGGTTCCTAATTGATCATTTCATCAACCACCCAAAGTGTGGAATATCTGAACGATCTCTCCATAATTTGCAGCTGTCTTGATAAATGCTGACGAAGTAATGAAACAGCCAAAAGATCATCCGATGGATGAATGTGGAAGAGGTTGTGATGAGAATGAAAAATGCGCATCTGGAAAATGTGAATGTGAAGATGGTTATGAACGCAACGAGGCCGGTCAATGCATCGGTGAGATTTTGATGGGTTTTCCTTTGTTCAAAAATCTCTGAGCTTACCGTTTGTAATTTCGTATGCAATGTTTTCGTGATAGAACAGATCATTTATTGTTTGAATTTCTCCGTAGGCTCACGATTAGACTTGTGATTTTCTTAACGCTCAGTTTTAGTTCTGTCTAATAGGTAAGATTCTACAAATGCTCAAATTCAATGTGACTTCATGTGCAGTATCCTTTCCTCATTAGATGATCATCTCAGAAGTTAATACAGATTCATCCGTATTGCAGATGCTGATGAATGCAGTGTGCCGAATGGTTGCCATCCGGTAGCTATTTGCACCAATCTGCCTGGTTCATACGTCTGCGATTGTCCCGATGGATATAAGGGCGATGGATACAGTTGTGTGCAATATCATTACGTGAACAATATGACCGGTATCTTCATGTTCAGTTATTCAAATTTTCGGCATGATGAGGAGCATTGTGTGTATGAAATGCTAATTGATAGTGATTGATGGTTTTGCTATAGTTGATTGTGGCTACGATGGAATCGAGCTGATATTGAGTAAAGACAGTGATCTATTCGATGGGCGAATATTTGTTCGTGGACAAACCGAGAATCCATACTGTTCGAAGAGACTGAATGCAGTAGCACACAACGAATCTGATTATCGTTTCTTGATACCCTTCGGCCACTGTAACGTGCGATTTGAAATACCGGTAAGAGTTTAAACTTAAGATTATCCCTTTTGAGGAGATATTGAAGGAGTATCTCAAAATTCAGAATATTCAGGCTGGCCGAAGTGCGCTGATGATATTGATGTTCAGTAATTTCTCGGATTTCAGGATACTTTCTCAGTGACGGTGGTGATCCAGAGACATCCAGCGTTTATAACGCAAACTGCAGATGCATATGATTTACGGTGCACTTATCCAGTTGGAAGTCGACAAGTGAGTTGTTACTCGGTTTTGTAACGATTTCCATTCTTATTTTTGTCTCTGATCTCTGTTTTTCTTTGTTTTTGATTCTCGGGAGTCATATTCTCCACGATTTTGCTCTGAAGACGTAGAGAACAGGGCTGTTGAAACCCAATAAGTTTTTGTCTGGATTGAACATCATAGATCTGTTGTTATTGAAGCTGATGTTGACGTCTTAAAATGAATAATTGATAATTATTGAATAAGTGCAATGAAATATTAAGTGTGAAATTGTAAACAGGTGATGAGTCATGTGAATGTCTCTGAAATGACAACTGCCGATACGATCGTTAAAACCGGAGTTGGTCCAATTTGTCATCTGAAAGTAACAAACAACGAAAATGAACTTATTGATACGGCCACTGTTGGACAAGTCTTAAGGCTAACACTTTCTGTGCAACCGAATGGTAGTGTTTTAGTTTTCTCGTTACAAATATTTAACCTTTTATTTGATATTCATATTGAAAATATGCTTCGATGCCGCAGTGGTCACCTAAATCAAAATCAGTATGCGTCCTAACCTGTTATTATCAATTCATGGGTTAGGTATCTTTTTGATACGATTTATGTATCAACGTTTCTAATATATGAGTGGTCGGGGCCGTTTAAGTTTTTTTTTTGCAGTCAAGTAGATTTTCAGCAATAGTTGGTGGGTGTATTTCGAGCGAACAGTCTTTAATCTTTAAATGATCGAAAAAATTGCAGATACATATTCGATTCTACCACGAAATTGTTTCGCAATAAACTTGGAAACAGGCGAACGTTATTCTCTGACAGATCAAGCTGGATGTGCAATCGACACACAACTCTTCCCCGAATGGCTTCATAAACAACCGTCCATAACAACAGCCACATTCCGAACATTCAAATGGCCCGACAGTTCAATGATACGTTTTCAGTGCGATTGCTCTGCGTGCATTGGTACATGCCCTAAGGTGAAACGTTGATGCAATCTGAAACACTTGAACAATTGTTATTTCTAACTCGTTGTTTAAAATGATCGAATTGAAGATAAACTGTGAGCGGAGGAGAGAAGCAATGCGACGTCGTCGTATGAGATTGCGATATATTCGTGGCACAACGAGTGAGGAGGAATTGTTGGATGAGCTCGATGATCAACTAAGGACAAGTCTAGTTGCATCAAAACATCAAATGACATTCTCAGATGCAGTTCACGTCGATGAAGATGAAGAGGAACGACGGGCACAGCGAGAGGTGGACAACTGGAAGTATCAAGGTGGGTTCAGAAAAATCTGAGACGTTCGACTCAAATCAGAATCATTTTCTCGGCTATTCATAACTTCAATTTTTTCAAGGTCTCGTATCAATGGAACCTGTGGGCAACAATCTATTCGAGAGTCAAATTTGTGTTCGAGCGCTATGGGTTGGAATATCATTATTACCTTTAATGCTAGCGATTGCATTGTTGGGTGTATTGTCAATACTGTGGAAGCGAAGGTCCTCATCGAGAGTCAGTCAAAAGGCTGATTTCAATGAGCAAGCCATCTCTACGAACAATCAAATGCTTGACAACTCTTCATCCTACATCAAGTTTTAATCTCGAGTCATTCACCAAGTGCCAAACGATAATTCTATTATGAATTGATGATGTGTATAGGCGATATAAGTATATGTGCACGGGTGTTTTGATACACTATCAATCAAATTCCATCATTAAGCTAAATGATTATTGTTCCGTTCGTTACATATACAAATATTCACATCATTAATTGATTTGAGTTGGTCATCAGGTGACCATGCTTTAATTTAGTAATTCATATACTTCTAAGAACAAGTGACTGAGATATCTCTCTCATTCAGGACTAGTGATTGATACAATAGTGAGTTGGTTTGTGTTGTTAATCGGAGTTCGCTTGCATCCAACTCCCTCTAATAATGATTATAATAATAATAATAATAATCTCTGTCGCCATCATCTCCGATTGGATGTCACTGCCCTTTGCTGCTAAAATGTGTTTTTTTGCCCTCTGCTTAATGTATTTGAATGGATTATAAGATAATATTAATATTATAATATTATTTTATTAATATATTTGTTGTGAAAAGAATTTGTTATCGTTGATGATTTCAGTAACTTTCAGATGATTTTGTTATGATTCAAAACATTCGTTCGTTTATTCATTGTTTGTTCGTGTTTCTTTCTGTTTTGTTGCTGTCTTCATTATTCCGGTTCCAGATATCTCAGGTGGTTGGAATAGCCACACTTTTACGTTGATGTTGTCTCGACTTTTGAGTAGAAAAGCGTAGCACCACAACTCTGCAGCATAATACAAAGGGTTCTCCTATGAAGGCTAATAAAATGCAAATGAATTTGACAATGGATGTGATCCTTCAACGATCACCTCATCCATTAACAATACCGATAGTGTGGTTATTCCTCCTCCTGTTAGTGAACTTCTTTCTGCTCATACCGCTCCCCACTCTATATTTTGCTGATTGATACTAGTATAATGTACCGTTCAGTTTACATATTCTCCTTCGTTTACATTCCACGTGTTCCATAATGGATTGACTGATTCAGCTGCACTTACTTCAGTCTCAGCTATTTACTGTTTTCTTATTCCTCATCGATACTAATAATATTCGCTGCTTTATGCATAATTCTCGCGTTCATGTCTCGGGTTTTCTCATTGTTTTGTTTCTGTGAATGAATTGAATTAATTGCCTTGTGTACGAACGATCTTGTCGATTAATAAAACTAACTGATATAATACTTTGCCACGGCAATATTCACTGAGTGAAGAAAAAGAAGAGCACATCGATATTTTATTACAGTTTTCTTCAAAAAAAATTTGAGGTGAATAAATTTTGTCATCTTCTTCAACAACTCGACGATCTCAAAGTATAGTGAGTCGTATAAGGTCTGAGCAATTTATGATTCAATGATTCAGATATAATTTGAACGCTGAATATTTTCTGCAGATATGGAAAGAGACCAGATGCTTTATTTGTAGTTAAAGAGTATTGAAAATAAATAATATAAACGAATATTTGAAAGGTGATACTATTGATGGTAAAATATTCACTGAATTGCTTCATCAGCTTCTTCAACATAATAATACGACGATCGTTCATCATTTTGTTTTATGACCTTCTGATGCAGCTTTCGACAGTTATGGGCGTAATTCAAGAAACGATAACGACGTTCCATGGCCTGCAACAAACAACGAACGCATCAGCACTCCGCTACATTCTTTTCGAATGTAACATCACAACAATTATTAACCAACTGAGCAATGAAAGCCAGTAGAATCCTCNAAAAAAGATAGCACACTGCTAAGACCTTCCAAATTGAGAATTGCATTGAATTCGATGAAAAAAGCAGCGTATGATTCGAGAATTGAACAAAGTTTACTTTTGATCGGCGTGACGATTGCCAGTCAAGACGATCACCCAACGAAAAATTGCGTTGTATCATGTCAAGTTCCTGTAATCACAGCAACATTCTGACCGATGTTTATTTCGCAACTTTTTCGCATTTTCTGAACCTAACGTGTACGTATTGTCAACGTCTCATAAGGATGATGTACGAAATACCCTATTATCGCATGAATCTAATCGTAAACTTTTTACTGTCAACGTGTTGCTTTGTTGTGCGCATCAAAACGCATAATGTTTATGCACTTACAATGTCGGCGTTAATTTGCTCATATTTTGGTTCATTGTAAAAACTGGCTTGACGTAGGTGACGATGTAAAGTTACCAATGAAGCCGGAGGTCCAGGTTCCTGCAGAAACGCTTACTGATATGTTGATGTTTGCATTTTGTTCGAATTCGCACATCTTAATCCACTAAATAATGCTCANACAAACAACCCTGACTATTGTGAAATATGATGCTCATGAGCACAGGTGACTGGATTGAGTTAGTTAAAGCTGAAATTGATCGGATGAACGCATTTGATCTGATCAGGTCAAATGCACCAAGTTCGCAATTTCACCTCGCCATATTCTTGTTCCAGCAAATTGATAGTTTCTTTCATATTTTGAACTTCTTTTTTCTCAGTTTCAAATCGCCATGGTAGTTGTCCAACCATATTCTCAACACAGATATAATACACTGACCATAAATCATCGAAACGTGACATATCCTGCATTAAATCCTCGGTTACGTACCAAAGCGCTTCAACTGAACGTGCATTTCAAATAAAAAGCTCAAATTAAATCCATGCTATCTTCAAGAATTTGAATGTAAGCGACCTGATGGTAATGCGTGGTGAGTGAGGCGTATCGCATAGTACCGTGAAAAGGACTGGATTTACGACGGGGTTTCACCACTCCATTACGTCCAATGTAATGTCTGGCCATACCAAAATCAATCAAATAAAGCTCTTCGTCTCCTTCACAGCGAATTCCGATGCAAAAATTGGCTGGCTTCACGTCTCTTCAAAAAGTTTGCTAAATTTATTTACAAAAGATACGATTCCATCGAATTAGCATTCTTCAACTTGTTCACATCTGACATTGAGTAACGCTCGCATCTGACATCAACTTCCTAAATGTTGCAGCTGTACTGAGTGCCCTAGACCAGTGGTTCTCATTGGGGGTGAAATTACCCATTTTGAGCAGTTTGGAGGCGTCAAGGGATAATGGAGGGGGTCGGGAAATGAGTGTTTCGTGCAGTTGTTATGTTATGATAGTACGCCATTGTGATGGTGTTTTTTAAATTTAGATATGTAAGTGCGATTAGTTAATGGCAATATTCTCTTTTTAACTTGGTTATGTA